AGAATTCCGTCTCAAGGGTGCCGGAGCACCCGTAATGACCCGTACTTGTCTGTGCTGTTGACGAGCACCCAGCTGCAGGCTCCTCCGAACTGAGGGCATCGTGGCCTCGGAGAGTTGAGTCTCAGTGAAGAACCAAAGACCTGGTCCCAGATCGAGGGCTTGAAGTTCCTTGCCCCGCATTCCTGAAGGATTGCTGACCGCGACTGACACAACTTCCTGCGGGCCCGGATGTCGCGCCTCTCCCCACCTCCAGCCACCATGATCCCATTTGGTCCTGCACCCCAAATCGCGGTCACCATGTGCCGCGCTGGCAAAGAAGAGCTGGGCACAGGACCTCCTGGAGACCACCCCATCTGCCGTAGCCGTGGCGACCGAAGGAACCCAAATCACCAACATGATGAGCCACCTCAAAAGAATGCCCATCCGCAAAGAACACGTCCTCGAATGGCATGTGTCCTTGTCTGTCTGCCTCCTCCAACCAAAATCGGGCCTTGAACGACGACGGGGCGCCACCACAGACCCATATGGTAGCCCCGAGCGACCTGGTCACTCAGCCCGTTGCTTCTTGTCCGCATGCCCGGTGCCCTTGAGATCCACAATGGCCTCCTGCAACTGTTGGAACTGCATACTGAACTGGGACCCCATCGTCTGCAAGGCCGTCTGCATCGCCGTCTGAATCTGATTGGGTTGGTCCTGTACTTCCTGGCGGATGGCCTGGATGTCCTTCTGCTGTGAGTCGACCGTGGCGCAAAGGGCGTGGACTTGATTCGTGAGCTCGTTGGTTTTGTGGCCCGCCTGTGTGAACCAGCCCTCGAACTTGGTGTTCTGGTGTCGTAGTTCCTGAACCGCCACCTCCAGTTGTCCCAAACGCGGGTCCTCCGTATCCATGGCCCCTCCGTGGAGCGAGGAGATCTCGGAATGAACCGTGCGCTTCACATCCTCTTTGAGCTGGTGTTTGAGCTGCTGTAGTTTCTGAGTGGTGGCGTTGCCTGTTGAGGTATCTCGTGAAGATCCCTTGCTGTGGTCGTTGAACCATGTTGACCAGGGGTCGGTGCCCTGCTGCCACGGGTCCTGTGTGTTGCTGCCGCCGTGCTTGGGTTTGACTCCCTGCTTGTCGGATTGCAGGAATTGGCGTGTTCGTTGAGGGATTACCGGAGCCGGGTGCCCATCCGTCTTGCGATTCAGCGACTTCACCAACTGGATCAGCACCTCTCCTTGGGGTCCTTGCATGGCGAATGAGGGCGGATCTTTTTCTGCTCCCACCTCCCTCCACCGCCACGGGCTGGCTGAAGGGGTTTGGCCGCCCATCCCCATTGCTTCACCAAAGCCACAACTCCAGCCCTCTGCATCCCGTACGGAAGCGGGTAGACCTTGTAGATGGCGTTGAGCTTCAACTGCATGAAGATCTGACCCGGCCGGAGCGCACCGAAGAGCATCGCCTCGTCCTCCGTCTTGACCCGAATTCCCCATTTCTGTCCCAGCCGTGCAATTCCGAGAGCTTTTTCGTGAGTGGCCATGATGTGTTGGGCCTCCGCTAGCGTCTTCCCCGGGAGCCATACCACCGCAAAACCTGGGCAAGGTCCCAGAGTGCTTTCAGCCCTTGGCTCGATGTAGACGCCGGTTCTGCCTGATTCCTGGTTGAGTTGCCGAAGAGCAAGGCGAGGTATCCGTGCAAAGATCTGGACCATGTCTGCCTGGCTAGGGTCCGTCTTGCCTCCCGCCATTTTCTGGAAGGAGCGTCCCCATACGTCTTGGACAACCTGATTGATGTCCTCCTCAACCGCGGCATGATATGCTCGGCAGTGGCCTTTGCACAGAGGCGTCTTGCAGAGATGGAGCGCGTCAAGCTTGTCCATCAGTGTTTTAGCCGGTGAGGCCAACACACGCTCCCAGTGATCGTCCAGCTCATCCCTGTAGCCAATGATCTTCACAATGACCGTGTCGACCAACTCGATGGCCGGGGCCGATGGGTTGGCTTTCTTGGCAATGCGTAGATCACCAACGTCAATGAGCGTGCCCCGAAGTAGGATCGCTTCCTGGGTGTCCTTGTAGAGGGCCGGGAACTGAACGTCCGTTATGTTGAGGCCGCCGCGTAGCTCGTCTGGTAGTGGTTGTGTGGTCAAAAGGCCCAAGGCATCCGGGCTGATGGAGTTCTGCGCCTTGAGAAAGGGGAGCGCCTCTGCAATGCAGGTGATGGCCAGGCCCCTCGCATTGACTGCCACCTCGCTGAGCTGAATCTGTTTCACAACCTCATCGTTCTCGTCCTCAAAGATGCCCTCTTTGATGACGACGCCCATTGGGTCAACCTCCTGAATCTGCGGGGCTCTACCTATCTGTGATTTTTGCTCCTTGCGCTGGCGTGGCTTGGCAGCCCCAAACTTGGTGCTGGCCCGACTCTGAATTTGAGCCTTGAGTTCAACAGGCTGTACCCATCTGAACCGATGGGCGGCCTGGTTCCCAACTCCTTTCAATGCCTGCCAGGGGTTTGGCTGGTTGAGGGCCTGCTGTATCTGAGCGGACCCGATCTTCTTGATTGCCTCTGCCACCCTTTCCTCGACCTTGTTGCCGGGTACTCCTTGCTGAATGAGCACCGCCGCCAGGTCGCGCATGACCTTGTCCTCGGGCCCCGCAGCGCGCCAGGCCGATTCGTCAGTGTCGGCCTCCAGCAGCCAGTCGTGCCAGGTCTCCGTGATGTCCTCGTTGAAGGCGTCCCACAAACCCAGCACTCTACAGGTGTGCTGCAAAGCGATGACCCCGCATTGGTCCGGCTTGGTCTGCGCGTAATCCGTGTGGAGTGTGAGGCTTCCGATCGGTCTGCCCCATAGTTCCGCAAGCTTCCCGATGAGGTTCTCGGCCGTCCCTGGCATGATGGTGTAGCCGTTGTAGACCGTAGCCACCAGACAATCATCTTTTTCTTGTACAGCAAGTAGTGCCCAATGGCCCGCGTCTTCAAAGATGGTGAGCGCCCGACCGATGCCTTGTAGTAGCTCTCGCATGGGCATGGCATTCCGGATCAACGACTCTGGCGCCGTCTGCAAAATGAGAGCTTTTCGGGGGGCCCAACCCAAGGTTCTCCTCCGAGAGCGCCATCTAAGCCTGCATGGCCCCGCTGATGGCCACGTCACTGATCTGACGTCCCGTGTGTATCCGGCCAGATTCGCATGCCGTCTCGTGTTGGTGTGCCCTGTAGATGGAGACCATCACCAAATTGAAGTCCCAGCCACTGCTTAATGTGCTGCATGAACGTGCCCTGCTGCACCCGAACTTGCGTGGTCTGGCCGGAACCGGTGATTGTGAGCACTGAGGTTTCTGGTACCTGCAATCTTTGTCGTTTCGTGTGGCTCTCCAATTCGTAGATGACGTCTGGACGAAGCTGCATCTGTGGTGAGGTCCTCTTGCCGTTGACATAGGCGTGAATCTGATCTCCATGTCCCTGAAGGTCCTTTTCCGCCTCCAAGAGGTTCTGGATCGTGGCAGGCTGGTTGAGCTGCAGATAGCCCAGCACCTCCTGTTTGCAGGTTGTGATGGACCTGGGCAAAAACATTTCGGCTGTCACCCATGTGTCGTGTGCCTCCTGAATCACCCGCTGTAGCCAGCTTTGGACTGCTTGCTCCGGGGTTACTGAGGGCCGTCCTTGTCGAAGCTGAACCGCCTGCATCACATGCGCTGCCACCCAGGTGCTCTGTAGCGGAGTAGCGATCTGGCCCAGCATGCAAAGTGCTGCCCTTGGTGGAGAGACCATCTTGTAGGAGGCCGGGATGGCGTTCCAGTAGCAGACCTCCCCCGGGTGAGGAAATCGCCGACAGCCGAGCCGTTGGGAGATGATTGCAAATCCTCTCAGTCCGCCTCGTCGTAGCCAGCTTTCGCTAAATGCGCGTCCTCTGCACCCGCACGGACATGGTCGGAGTGCAGCTCCCCAGGAATGTACTGCCGTTGGAATCTTGGCCCAGAGGTCCAATCTGCGGCTCTCCGTGCCGAACTCGAGGTTGTCGTAGTGGTCAATCTCGTTCTGGTCCCACCGCAGGTTCTGCTCCTCCTCAATGTCCCAATGTGGCCAGTCCCTGAGTAGGTGTCCTGGTAGAGGGTCAGGATCATGTTTTCCCCACATCTGAAGACCATGCGGAAGGACATCTGCAGGAAGAATGAGCGCCCACCATCGTCTGCGTCTGCTGATCCAACGGTCCGCAAGGTCCAAAACCTGGTCGTAGATCTGAAAACCCGTGGCCTCCATATACTTCTGGATCTGCTCCCTGACCGGCTTTGAGGTTCCTGCTTCCGGCACGCATTCCAACAGCAATCCCGAGGCCCCCAGGCGCCATGCTGCCAAAAGCAAAGCCGGCAACGTCTGAAACCGAGGGTCGGCTGCCTCCTGTCGGCTGCCCTGTCTCGAGTATGGCTGGCACGGATGCCCCGCACGGTGTCCTGCTCGTGGATGCTGCCCTTGACAATGGGCGCCTGGCTATTCAGGCGCGTGGCCGCGCACGCCAACCAGCCTTGGTCGTTGTGACCCAACAGCCGAAATCCTGCGTGCTCCGCCCCCCATCCAAGTGCCCCAATGCCGGAGCAATCCCAGGCCGCTGTGTAGTCCACGTCTCCACGAAACTGGTGGCAGAAGACCTCCGAGTCCTTGCCGAGCGCCATGACCGGGCGGTCCTGAAAGATGCCCACGCGCTCGATGTCGTAGAGGGTCCAAAGCTCATCTGGCGCACCGAAGATGCCTCCGAGGTAGAAGAGCTGATCCGGAGACACCCCATTCATCTGCGTGTACAGCCCGTCCTGCTCATGCCCCACCACCCTCGCCACGACCGTGACGTTGCGATCCCCCACCGCGTCCACCTTCTGATCCATCGCGGCCCCTCGACCCTCAGTAGGCAACCGCTCTGCCCCTGGAAGGCGTTCGAGCCAGAGCTGAAAAAAAAAACAACAACAAAAACTTTAAAACGCACAGACACACACAGAGACAGCAAAGAAGGGCTGGATCCCTTCCCCGGATCCCGGAGGCCTTGATCACGCTGCTGCTGGCGGCGCGCTGCCCGGGCCTTCCGCTGGTGGGGGAGGAGGACGCGCGCGCCCCGCGGGAAGACGCCGCGCTGGCGGCCAAGGCGTGGGACCCGGGGGGGGTGCTGCTTGGTTTTGGGGATGTGGGTATGGGGCACAACCTGTTGGGATCCCATTTTGGGGGGGATGAACATCCATTTGCCAGCTATTTGGTGAAGGCTTTGGGAGGTGGGCTGTGGTGGTCAAAACCGTGTTGGATCCCATTTTGGTTGGTAACCTAGGCAGCCAGTCACAGCCACGTAAAAAAAGAAATGGGCTTTTTGGACCAGCGAAAGATAGATTGCAGTCGACGTGTGATTAGCCATGCATTTCAGGTGACTACCGGCATGTTGCGATAGCAACTATCCGGTGCCACTTTGGCTCAAGTTTTGGGTTCCGTCGCGCCTCGAATGGGCGTCGCCGAACCCCTGCGTCGACCGACGGCATCTCGGGGGAGAAAGAGACCTCGGGCCGCCGCCAGGTTGGTAGGGACCAGTCGTGCGGCCTGTTGTCGACCAAGGTTGCGGGTTAACCCTTTTCTTGTTTGGTTTGTTTTCCTTTGGTTGTTGTTCTCTGGTGTGTGGGAAACCCTGATCTTTGGGACCGGGGATTGGTTTGCTTTTGGGGAACCTTTCTTTTGTGGCTTGTTTACCCCAACTAACCCATTGCCTGGGCACAGGCTCGTGCCCGAATCACAGGTTATCAGCCGTAGGACTTTCCTACGCGCTTGAGACCATCAACTACAAGCTCTATGTCGACCCCACGATCTCGAAGGAGCGTCGTGGATGAGGAGGCCATCCTAGGGGGCCTCCGCTCAGGTGAGGACCTACCGGACTATGACTACGAGGATTTCGAAGCAGGTTCGACAGGTCAGGATCGCAGGGGTGAAGATCCCGGTAGGGACACACCCAGGAGCCGTGGCAGGTACACCGACGATGGAGACGACCGCATTTTCCGTCAGGCCACCGATGATGAGCAGACACGGAGGGTTCGCTCCGATAGGAGCGGCTCTGAATCAGGTCACAGGCGCGGACAGTTCGACTTCATCAGCATGGCGATGAACATGGCCCGCCCCCATTCGGATGACCCGGAGGCTATGCCGACCCGACCCCCGAGATCTCTTATTCCAGGTGAATCGCAGGTCTCGGATGAGTTTGAGGACAGGCCGCAAGGACCAGGGACTATGGTTTTGGCTCCGAGAGATATCTCGGGTCGATCCACTGGTTCTCAAAATCCAGGTCAGTTTGATGAGCACGAGGAGCGGGAATTCTCAGACTTCGGATACGATGCTCTGTTGAAATCAACCGCAGGCTGGGGCAGTAGCTCAAAGCATCTGATGCCGGTAGGCCCAACCCTAATACTGCCAAATCTGAGTCTTATGATGGCGAAGATTACAATTTTGCGGATGTGGAGGAGGACCAATCACGTCGAAATGCTAGGATCCGTGATGCTGCGAGGCCTAGGAGCCTCTCTCGTGGAGCCGCCAGGGACCTTTGTGCTGACAGGGACGCCCGAAGTGAGAGAGAGAGAGCCAGGGATAGTCGGGAGGTTCTTCGGGGATTGGAGGCCATTCATGACCGTGAGGGACCGATAGGTCCCCCAGCGATTGGTGATGCCCCGAATGTTCCCCCTTTTCCCAACATTACCTTTGGAGGTCCGTTGAATCAGAGAGACGTGAACTCGAACCGGGTTACTGGTTCGCCGAGGATCACTGAGCGGGCTGCCGATATCGTTAGGACAGGTGCCAGAGATGGTCGGCTCGCCGATGCGCTCGGGATCGAAGATCGTCCGTCGATCGCTAGCCCGTTAGGGCGAGATACCAGTGACCTTGAAACGCTAAGATCTAGCAACGAGTTCACACCTCAATGGGGCTCGACCGCCAGGGAACGTAGTGTTTCTGCGAAGAGGCCGTCACCCCTCGCCATTGAGTCCGATAGGTCAAAGGCGAGGAGGGCTAGCCCCTCACCAATGGGCTCAACTCCGCAGGATGAGGAGATGCCCGATCCTGCTGATGTTCACATTCACTCTACCCCCGAGTCTCGTGCATCCAACATTGATCCCCGATCTGGCGATAGCCGGAGAAGGGGATCTACCCCGAGTAGGCCACACAGGATTGATGATTGTCCTGTAGGCGACCCCAGAAGACATGCCGGGGCTAGTGGGGCTCCTGAGAGGATCGAGATATCGACTCCTCCTGCCCTCAGATCCCATTCTTCCGGCGAATCAGGTGACGCTAGGGCAAAGGAGGTGTTCGATTTGCACATCCAGGAGATGCTCGAGAGGGGTGAGGTTTCTGGCTCAGTCGCGAAGGCGTTCCATATTTTTGCTGACCAAATCAGGTTACTGAACGGTCAGGTGAGTTCCATGCGAAGGGAATGGAGCGACGAGAATCGACAGACGAAGGACAAGGTCGATCACCTGACAGCTGAGATTGCGACTCAATCTGATGCCGGTAGGATGCGGATGATAGTTCAACGATTTGCTAGGGAAGTTATTCCTGACAGCAAAGCCATTGTGAGGCAAGCCATCGATGAACAGGCTGAAGTCGTGGAGCAGAGGATCAATCTGCTTTCACACGAGGTTCATGAATCTGTTAAGGACAATGAGGCCGCAACTGATCGGCTTCGCCAGATGATTCAAGAGAATCGTGAGGCCGTCCACAGGAGCCATGCTGCTTCCGAGGATGAGATCCTTAAGGACTTGGACAAGCTCGAGGGACGGATGTTCTCGGTAGAGAAAACCGTCGGGATGCGGACGCCAGCAGGTGAATGGAATTTGAATCCTGTCGCGCAACCGCCCGATAGGGCTAGCAGCAGTGGGGTGAACGCGAATTTCAGAGAGTTAAGCCTGAAACTCGAAAAGGCTCTCCTTGAACACGAGAAGTTTGCTAAGTGGGCCTCCGAATCTATTGGTGGCATTAATGAAGAGCAAACCATTCTTGCTAATCGGATGTCGAGGCTGCAGAGTGGAAGGGGGTCACAGGCGATCGATAGATCATCAGGGCCTGTATCCCCGCAGGACTGGCATGAAGCAATTGACGAAGTCATCTATCTCGCGGAGTTCAACGCCACCATGGGGATCATGACGATGTCCTTGCAAGGTTTGAAACCTTGAAGTCCCGTGTTGAGCAGTACGAAGCGAGTTCGGGGATTCTGAATCAAGTTCTTGATGACATCAGAAGACAGATCCGCAGTCTCCCTGCGAATAGTGATCATGCGCGGTCTGCCGTTAGGCGTGAAATTGACTCATTCCGGAGTACGCTTGAGGGCGCTATGCGGAGAATCAGCACTGTCGAGAGTAACATGCGTACTCTTAATGGAATGAACAACAGAATCATGGCTCAGCTCTATGAAATCGAAGGTCATGTCGATGAGGCTGCTGGCATTATTCAGGGTGTCCAGGATAATCAGGTAAATCCTCCACAGCCCAGAGAGAGACGGAACGTTGGGTACGACGCTTTCGCGGGGCAGGGACACAGAATCAGGTCTCCGACGCCCACTCCCGGAGAAGGGAACGGTCGGGGTACTGGCCTTCCGGTGAGACCGGGCGGAGGTGTTGAGTTGGTTGATCACGCTTTGCCTAATGTGCCCGGTAGGGTCGATCCTTCCCAAGCAGGCAGGCATCCCATTAATCCCGATAGGGAGAGGGCTGACAGCAGAAGCAGGAGGGCGCGGGGACTGCCTGACAGGTCGCATTCACCGCCAGGGCGTGCGAGGGATGGCCCCCGCGCACGTGCAAGGGGGGACATTTCTGTTTCTCCCAACAGGGATGTGGGTAGGAGTAGGAGCCCGAGGCCTGCTGCCGTCCCCGATAGGGGATCTGAGGTCCGGAGTCGGCAATCGAGGGGGGAGAGGCCGATCCGCGATAGCGGGAGCATCTCTCCGAACCTGGATAGGCTGATCCGCGATAGCGGGAACGTCTCTCCGAACCCAGACCGTCATCCAGGAGGTGGTAGGGATAATAGGGCCCATGCCGACATCCAGAGTCCCGGCGATAACTGGAGGACTCCTGGGAGTAGAGCTAGTGCCGATATCCAGAGTCCCGGCGATAGCTGGAGGACTCCTGGAGCTCCATCTGATCGTGGACAGGCCTCGGCACCGGCCGCAAGAGGAGCTCCCGGTACCGGTGGCCCAGGTGCGCCAAAGATTTGTGCCCTCGATAATCCCAATGACCGTAGGCACCCGGACGCTGAATTCTCGTGTGTTACGTGCAATCGTGAGTTTTGCAGGCTTTGCCGGGGTGACGACGGGGACTGTTGCAATTGTCAGTTCTTGAAAATGAAGTGTTGGGCATGTCGCAAGAATGCCCAGGAGGTCTCAATGTATTTCTGCACGGATTGTGGGAACCACGTTTGTGAGGATCACAGTCATTTTGGCAGCGACGGCCTCGAACGATGTGCGCGCTGCAATATTCGGCATGAACGCGCTAACGCTGGACCGCCTCCTCCTCCCCCTCCTGGGGGAGGAGGTGGGCAAGGCGGACCACCCGGTCAAGGTGGGAGCGGAAGCGGTGGTCACGGACATGCTCCATTTCCACCACCAGGTCCTGGACATCCTGGCGGAGGCCAAGGTCCCGCTGGACCTCCTGGAGGCCCGAGTGGTGGGGCTCCTACCGGGGGATACCCTGGTGGAGCACCTGGGTTCTATGGTAGTGCTGCTGATACTCATGGAGCTGGGAACAATCAGTGTGGTTCCAGTTTCTATGGTCCTGCCTACGGAGGTGGCGTTAGCCACCAAGGGGTTGGCGCTGGCGTTAGTCAGCCCAACGATGCTGCAGGTTACCCCTCGAGTGTTGCGAGCGGTGGTAACCTTGGGCCAGGTCTTAGCCTTGGCTACAGCGTAAATGGGGCCGGTAGGCAGGGAGATGGTGGTCTTCTCCCTGAAGCCTTGAGGGGAGATGATGGACGGGACAGGTGCACTAAGTGTAGCAGGATCCCTGAGCCTGGTTTCCCTCTTGTCCCTTGCGTTGGCTGTGGAATGAGGGCGTGTGAAGTTTGCTGCCCTATGCCTGCTAGACTGTGTGAAAGTTGCAGGATTACCTCATGTACCCCGATAGGGGCTCTGAT